AACACCGCTACTTATGTAACCAGTTCTATCATTCTTGTCAAATCTAATAAAGGTATGTAACGTCACATAGACGTCTTGACCATACCAAAAATACTACCTTGACCGTTAGGGTAAGGACAGTCTGACTGTTAGTGTTAAAGAGCATCTTATGGGGTAAGGACACACCGTGACTGTAAGTGATAAAGAACACGTTCTGGTGTAAGCACAGTCTGTACCTGTTGATGATAAAGCACACGTTCTGGTGTAAGCACAGTCTGTACCTGTTGATGATAAAGAACACGCTCTGGTGTAAGCACAGTCTGTACCTGTTGATGATAAAGAACACGTTCTGGTGTAAGCACAGTCTGTACCTGTTGATGATAAAGAACACGCTCTGGGGTAATGACAGTCTGTACCTGTTGATGATAAAGAACACGCTCTGGTGTAATGACAGTCTGTGACTGTTGATGATAAAGAACACGCTCTGGGGTAATGACAGTCTGTGACTGTTGATGATAAAGAACACGCTCTGGTGTAAGCACAGTCTGTACCTGTTGATGATAAAGAACACGTTCTGGTGTAAGCACAGTCTGTACCTGTTGATGATAAAGAACACGCTCTGGGATAATGACAGTCTGTGACTGTTGATGATAAAGAACACGCTCTGGGGTAATGACAGTCTGTGACTGTTGGTGATGAAGAACACGCTCTGGGGTAAGGAATGACCGCGAGGCTGGCAGATGACAAAACTCATTGCGTTAGTAACCTCTTCCAGGACCACAGCTTTCAATGTAACCAACATGATGTGTATCTGTTCATGCAGATCTAAAGACTGGTCATGGGAAAGCATGCACTGACGTCTCTCAGTGCGTGCAAGGGGAAGGGAACATGGTTTGCAGTGCCAGCAGTCTCGATGGCGCACCCAAGGTATGCCACTGTGAACAGGACAGGTACAAGTTCGGAGCCGTGTGCAGAAGCAGTAAGTGAGTGAGTGAGTGAGTGAGTTATTATTTAACGTCACATCGGCAATATTTCAGCCATATCGTGACGAGAACATTTGATATTGAAATGAAATATATGTATATTATAAAACACCTGCCGACGAAGGACAGTAAAAATACTAGATGATCACAGATATATATATAAAACTAGCGAACAAAGCTAAAATATTCCAATTAAAGAAGACAATACAATGTAAAAATGGGCTATAGATCGCCAACAACTGAAGGTAGATCACCATACTAGGAACCATGGGGACTTACATTACCTTTGCTACCTGCATGGACCCTAGCTGGATTTACACCATACCTTCAGCCATTGGCGTTTATACCGAAAATTAGCCATATAGTAAAATAACAAAAATACTACGATTAAAAACCTGGTATACTTAAATGTACTTGAAATGTTTTGGGACTTACGTACCCGCAGAAGCAGTAAGTAATTACAGAAACCTAATGCACGAAGGAGAACAACATGTGATAACTTTTTATGGACCACGGTCCCGTTTCAGAAAAGTATCATAGCGCTACGACTGCCGCATGACAATATCATGCATGTTCACGTTCAGCCGTGTACCGTCCCATTATCACTATTACAGCATTATACGCTTCCAACATAGCCAGTATTAAATTACATCAAACTAAATAGGATATTGGAAAACAGCAGATCTAAGGGGACCCAAGATCCAGAAGTACGTCATAAATATAATCATCGTAATAAACACGTAACACGGACAATGTATAAACCAACAGAGAATGGTAACTGTGCTTCTTTCCTCGGCTTATTTGTCAATTCCTTGTTATAGTTCTGAAGAGAGTCTGGGGATTTATGAGTACCTGTATATGAAATTCATGCATTTCAAACTTTGTCTACAACTGTTTGTGACAATCCACGTTTAGTTTACGTGTCCTACACATCACCATTATGTTGTTAGCTGTTCAGTTATGCTTTTAACTAAATCCCCAAAATCATAATATATAAATAGGGCAAACCCTTTCCACATTCATAAGGAATCTCTGCTAAAATGTTGGAGAGTACAATTCCAACAGTGTATCAATCAGTGTTTGTGAATCACTGCCAGTCAGCAGTGTTTAATACTCCCAAAATTCCAAGCCAGACAGCCGGACTGGTAACTTTAAAAAATGACCAGCCCGGATACAAACTTGCCTGTCCGGATTTCAACAATAAAAAATCACCCACCATGTACCCCACCATTGCAAAACATCAGTGTGGTCGTTAGTCATTTTCAAAAGGCGGGGTTCGAACTCCCCCTCTGGATCCGCCACTGTACCATACCATGGGTCAGTATCATGTTTGTCTCCACAATATTGTTCACCATAATCTCATAGACCAGCGAATCGAGATGCTTCAGTTTTCTGTTATCCTTGCCTAACAGAAGTATTCATCTTGTCATCTTGGTTTCACATGAGATGGACTGATCCCATTTGGGCGAGAAAAACACTGTATTGTAACATGTCAGCCCGCCAAATCATGTATTTGATATCTCCATCAAATGTCTTTGACGTTATGCTTTTAATATTCAGGTATTCTCAGTGTCTAAAGCAGATGCAGCTATCCCATTGTAAAGTGTTACTTACGTCTTCGAGGAGATGATCTTCTGCAAAGACGTGTTGAAAGGCGACATAATAGTCATTATCTTCCAAGCTACGGTCCATTCCGTTTTACATACTGTGCTTCATATCTCGTTAATATATTTTTGGATTGCGCTCATCAACCTACACTAACATCTCGTCTCTGAGATGAGCACTTTTTACAGAAAAAAGCGGTTCCTAGATTATCTTCATAAAACATAATATACAGTATAGAAAGGAGCCCAGTCTTTCTTCATGTTTAGCCTTAATCTGGACTTACCACGTAATGAAGACTTGCATGGTCTGTGTTGGGATTATGTCAGTATAACAGACACTTTATCAAACATACGTGAATGAATATGAGTCAGTCAGCTATACTAATTATATACGAAACATTTAACTAGGGGCTCGTTAGAATCATAATAAACACTGCATGTTTAATAACAAATAATGGTGAAATAATGATGACATCCAGTTGCCTATCTCAGCAAAGACAGTTGAAGCCAATAACAGAGTATTCTTTCATACACAGTGAGCCGAGTGGGTGGACATTGTCTTGAAGATGAACACTGTCTTCCGTACAACTCTTTCTGTGAGAACAACCGATGCCGCTGTGGACACTATTTCTACGCTAACGATACAGTCTGTATGATCAGTGCGTGTCCCTTTCTACATGTCTTGACATAGCATGCGGGACCTAAATGTAACCATCTCCAGTGTTTTCCTGTAGTATAGTATGACCAGAAATTATTGAGAATTTTAGGAAAATGTTTAATTGGATTTCTAGTATAAACAACAACCTTGACCAGCTATCAAGTGCTTGGTTTCATTCAAGAGAGACAACTCCGTTAACCCTTTTTCATAAGTTTGTGAAGAGTTATCCCCCTTTGTTTACTTGCTAGCAGACGACATTTTCAGTGATCCTCAGTATGGATGATTTAGAGAAGAGGAAGTTGATTTTAGAGTATTATAACAAGGGCATCAGATCAGCTAAATTGATTTCAAGTAGAACAGGCATCCCTTTGTCCACTGTTTATCGTGTTTTGAAAAATAGTGCAAATGAATATGGCATTGAGCACCAGGGAGGCGCAGGTAGGCCCAGAAAAATTGACTGTCAGTGACAGGAGGCGGCTTGGTATTCTTGTTTCTAAAAACAAACGAAGGAGTTTAGAAAACTTAAGGCTGGATATGACTGATAGAGGAACTGTGGCTGTCTGTAAGGAGACAATTAGAACTGAGCTGCATGCAATGGGTTGGCAGAAAAGTCGAGGAATTCCATCACAAAGGAGCGAAGGTTGAACTGGTGCTTACAGCATAGAAATTTTAACTGGGACAATGTGATTTTCTCAGATGAAAGTTCTGTGTGGCTGTTTCCTAATACACTGAAATTCTGGACCAAACAAACTGAAAACCTTTGTATCAGCGCCCAAAGTACAGTCCAAAATTTAACGTGTGGGGTGGCATATCTGTGTTAGGGGCAACGCCCCTCTGTGTATTTGAAGGGAATATGAACAGTGAGCGGTACACAGATATTCTCGAGGGACATTTACTTCCATCTGCTCACGCGTTCTATAGAAAAATTTTGGATTTTCCAGCAGGACAACGACCCAAAACATCGTTCAAAGCATTCACAGGCCTGGTTTCGGACCCAAAATATGACATTATGAGATTGGCCAAGCTATAGCCCTGACCTACATCCAATAGAAAATGTTTGGGGACTTATGAAGGAAAGTGTCAATAAGAAAAATCTGACAAATATTGCTGAAATGAAAGAAGAGGTGGTCCGATATTGGGACAGCATGGACCACGACTTTCTAACTTCTTTGATCAGTAATATGCCCCGCCACATTGAAGCCTGCATTAAATTGCTGCCCATGGTGACTTGACAAAATACTAACTGTTCACCTGTCTTTGAATCTGGAGTTATGTTCTGCTAATTAATATTCACTTTTAATACGTGAGTATTTAAAAATTACAATCTTTAAATTCTCAATAATTTCTGGTTGTACTGTAATACATAAACGAACGTGTAGTGCAAACTGTATACAATGTCAATGAAATGTAGGAGAACCAAAAGTGATGCGCGATCTGGTGTATTTATTGTCACCTCACTCTTATTTCTCCTTAGAAGTTGGTCTGTCTGCATGGTGCACCGAGGACATTCAGTGTCGACCCGAGCACTCCCAATGTGACACTGGAGCTTGTCTGTGTAAACCTGGCTTTGACACATTGTTCGAATCAGGACAGTGTTCAGGTAAGAGTCATACCGACATATTTGTCAAGATATATATACAGTACGAATGTCAATATATTAATTTGTTCAATCCAGTAACTGACACGTCATTAAATTTCCTTCAGCATATTTTGAAATGGTCACACTATATGACGGTGGTCTGTAAATAATCGGGTCTGGAACAGACAATCCAGAGATTGACATGCATCAACTTTATTCTCTTAGTCATCTCTCACGATACGTATTGGTTACTGAGGATCAACTCTATCCGGATCTTCACGTATACCTTTAGTCACATAGTCCTTCCTTCAAACTGCGAGCGGGTTGTCATCAATAATGTGCTTGTTCTAAAAGTTTTAAACCATAGAGGCTTTGAATTCCATAATAAAGTTTATGTGTTACCTTTCGTAAGTTTTGGTCAAGTTCTCTCAGTGATGATGAATTATGTTGTCTTTTTCAGCGAGTGCAGGGCTGAAAATGCCATTCTTTGTACTGTTTCTCATGTTGGTCATCTGCGTAATGTGACTACAGCTTAAACACGTCCCACCACCACATCCTCTTGATTCATGTCATCTGTGCAATGTGACTACAGCTAGAACAGATCACAGCTACCTCCTCCTGAAGCCTGTCATCTGTACATGGTGTGTCTGCAGCTGGAACACATCACAGCTACCTCCTCCTGAAGCCTGTCATCTGTATGTGGTGTGTCTACAGCTGGAACAGATCACAAGTACCTCCTCCTGAAGCCTGTCATCGGTACATGGTGTGTCTGCAGCTGGAACACATCACAGCTACCTCCTCCTGAAGCCTGTCATCTGTATGTGGTGTGTCTACAGCTGGAACACATCACAGCTACCTCCTCCTGAAGCCTGTCATCTGCGAGGTGTGTCTACAGCTGGGTGTCCTCTGCAGCTGGAACACATCACAGCTACCTCCTCCTGAAGCCTGTCATCTGTATGTGGTGTGTCTACAGCTGGAACACATCACAGCTACCTCCTCCTGAAGCCTGTCATCTGTATGTGGTGTGTCTACAGCTGGAACACATCACAGCTACCTCCTCCTGAAGCCTGTCATCTGTATGCGAGGTGTGTCTACAGCTGGAACACATCACAGCTACCTCCTCCTGAAGCCTGTCATCTGTATGTGGTGTGTCTACAGCTGGAACACATCACAGCTACCTCCCTCCTCCTGAAGCCTGTCATCTGTACATGGAGGTGTGTCTACAGCCACAGCTACCTCCTCCTGAAGCCTGTCATCTGTGTGTGTGTGGTGTGTCTGCAGCTGGAACACATCACAGCTACCTCCTCCTGAAGCCTGTCATCTGTATGTGGTGTGTCTACAGCTGGAACACATCACAGCTACCTCCTCCTGAAGCCTGTCATCTGTATGTGGTGTGTCTACAGCTGGAACACATCACAGCTACCTCCTCCTGAAGCCTGTCATCTGTATGTGGTGTGTCTGCAGCTGGAACACATCACAGCTACCTCCTCCTGAAGCCTGTCATCTGTATGTGGTGTGTCTACAGCTGGAACACATCACAGCTACCTCCTCCTGAAGCCTGTCATCTGTATGTGGTGTGTCTACAGCTGGAACACATCACAGCTACCTCCTCCTGATACCTATCTCCCTGAAGGGAACAGTAACTCTTGTAAGCCTGCTTACACTTTAGACATGTTTACAGTTGACATCATTTTTATTATTCGTAACAAATATTGAATGCATACAATGTAGCACACTGTAAATATGTATAAATGATGTAAATATGAACTGTATGAAGTACTGCTTATGTATTGGTTGTCAAACACTGACTGTTCTGCAGCTCAGTGCGACAAATGATGCTTCATCTTACCAGCATATATAGCACTGTTCTTACCAATGAGCACTTCATATAAAGAGTAATCAATATATCCAACAATCTCCTTACTGTTATTGTTAATTATCTGAGAGGCTCTGCAGGGCCATGAAACAGCTAATAATATTAACCTGGTATCAAATCTAGACAGGATTTTCTAAAGCAGACACAGTTTATTGCATATCACACTTTAGTTTAAACACATTCCTTGAACATCATCTAATTTCTACACCCAGCAATTGCACAGCCTCTCTTTCAATCTTGCTATGCATGACATTGACCTCTTCCTGCGTCAAGGTTTTCTCCATATGTCGATAGATGATACGGTAGCAGTGACTATGTTGTTGCTTCTTTGGATGAAAGAATTCATCAACAAGGCTGACCTGCTCAACAAGGTCACCACCAACTAAGCGCACAAGGTCATAGAAATCATTCGGTGTAAAGTTGTCAGGAATCCAGAATGAAATGTCGTTTGTACACTGTGGATACTGGCTGACTGGCTGCAAGCAGACAATAGTAATGGGTAAAGAAGTACCAAAGTACACACAAACTCCATCAGTCACAATCAACCTCTTCTTGAAGTTGCAATGTCAGATTAGAATTTCATAGTTTTATTTATTTGATATGGAAACCCAGTTTCTCATATGGCACTATCAGTTTATCTAAACATAAACATATCAATTATACTCACAAAATATGAATCTGTCTTCATAAAAATAAAGAAAAAAAACAAGAATTGTTCATGTTTCTTTCATGAAAAACAAAATGCCAATTCAAACATTGCATCTTTAAAGCAATTAGATAATTCTAAATCATGATATGCAAAATCAATATGAACACTTACATAAATTGCGGCCACCTGTAGATGAAAAGTCCTACTAACTACATCCTTGATGTTACCTTTCTTCACCCATGATACCATTTCTCAAACCTCATGTATACTGGCTTACTCACCTTGTATGTGACCTCAGCCTCAGGGTGAAGCCCAGCAAACTGGGATAGGAATCCTGAGTCATGACTCCAAAATAAGCGTATGTCCGGAATGGAGTAAAGAATCATTGCTAGCCTCTCCAAGCCCAAACCAAATGCCCAGCCAATCTTGTCTGCCGTACTTGCTGGAATCACAATCATACATGAAGTTATCCCCTGTATCAAGCTTCCTCAGTCATGGGCCTCCGCAGCTGTCCTTCGCCACAGGCTATTTGCAATGTAACGAGGATACAGATCATCTAGGAAATTTAAAACATGTGAAACTACCTTTAGATATACTTCTCCAGGTTCTACTTCACTTTATGTGAATGGAAGACAGCAGTGAACAACATAATAATGGTGACTAGCTCACCTTAACAGTACACTTAGTAATTTGGACAGTAAGTTACTTTCAGCAATGAAATTAAAATGTTTACTGCAACTAGTTATCAATTTTTCCTAATCTGCAACAATAAATGCAATATTTAATATTTCATAAGGATGGTAACAATTAAATTCCTACCTTTACAATTATGCACCACAACCATTACAAACACCCTATAATGTAATGTTTTAAACTTCCTTGCAATGCAAAACACTCTTGAAACAATGCCTTGTGATGTAAGTCATCAAGGGTGCATACTCCTCTCAGGGATCTGTCATCTCTACATGCATTGTCACTGAGGAAGCCCAGTAATGTTGAAAGTTTTCAATAACTGTAAGCACACATTCCACAACATTGGGTGTCCTGTAGATTAGGGAATTGGTTAAGAGTGCCAATGGCATCAGGATCATATGTAAGTGCCTGCAGACTAAAGCAGTGGGATACTATGTTGACAAGTAGCCTTCGTAATTGTCCATGATACATTTCAATAAGGTCTTAGGCATGACAACATTAATTAGCTCAGTCGATGAGCTGCTGCTCTAACAATCCCAAGGTTGCACGTTTGCATCAGACATTTTCACAAAACTGGTTGTTTGTCCTAGTGAGCTACAGCTCACAGATCATGCTCACAAGAAGCTATGGTGCTCTATTCTAAAGGTGCATCACAATTAAGTTTCAATCTGAGTCTTGTCTGTATATCTTCTGGGATTATTGGTTATTTTAATTTTCATCAAATTGCTCTAAAAAAATTGGATTTCTTTCATGAAACTAAACTTCCTTCAGGTGACAAACATACTGTTTCACAAACTGTAAGTGTCACCAACCCAAGGCTATCTTTTCTTTGGGTCAGGAGCTAGTAAAATACATCAGAACTAGTATGTCTAGTATACAAACACTGTACAACTGTACAATGCAAGATTGTAGAATATTTCAATAAGGTATAGCATCAATACCTGTAATCTCATGGTGATGCCTATAATAAGGCAGCATCATCTGAGCAATGTGTAAAGTGGTGGTAGAGCTGTGTAAAGTGTTGGTAGAGCTGTGTAAAGTGGTGGTAGAGCTGTGTAAAGAGGTGGTAGGGCTGTGCAAAACGGTGGTAGGGCTGTGTAAAGTGGTGGCTGTGTAAAGTGGTGGTAGGGCTGTGTAAAGTGGTGGTAGGGCTGTGTAAAAATTAGAGGTGGTAGGGCTGTGTAAAGTGGTGGGTACAGCTGTGTAAAGAGTGGACGGACGTGAGTAGAGCTGTGTGTAAAGTGGTGGCTGTGTAAAAGAGTGGTGGTGGGGCTGTGTAAAGTGAAGGTGGTGTAGAGCTGTGTAAAAGGTGGTGAGTAGGGCTGAAAGTGTAAAAGTGGTGGCTGTGTGTAAGAGTGGTGAGGTAGAGCTTTAATAAAGTGGTGGATAGGGCTGTGTAAAAGTGTTGAGTAGAGGCTGTGTAAAAAGAGGTGAGGTAGGGACTGTATGCAAAACAGTTGGTAGTAGGGCTGTGTAAAAGTGGTGGTGGGGTTGTGTAAAAGTGGTGGCTGTGTAAAGTGGTGGTGTAGAGAGCTGTGTAAAAGTGGTGGTAGGAGGGCTGGTGTAAAGTGGTGAGTAGAGCTGTGTGAAAGTGGTGGTAGGGCTGTGTGTAAAAGTGGTGGTAGAAGGCTGTGTAAAGTGGTGGTGGGTAGGTGGTGGGAAATTGTAAAAGTGGTGGTAGGGCTGTGTAAAGTGGTGGTGGGGCTGTGTAAAGTAAAGTGGTGGCTGTATGAAACTGAGTTAGTGGAAAAGGTACAGTGGTGGCTGTATAGTGGTGGTGGGGCTGTGTGTATAGTGGTGGTGGGGCTGTGTATAGTGGTGGAGTAGGGCTGTGTAGCAGTGGTAGACAGTAATATGTGATTGAGTGGGGCTGGTGTAAAGTGAGTGAGTGGTGTAAGAATGTGTGAGTTGGTGGGGCTGTGTAAAAATTAAGTGGTGGTAGGGCTGTGTAAAGAGTGGTGCATTAGGAGCTGTGTATAGTTAATGGTAGGGGCTGTGTAAATAAAATGAGTAGGGCTAATGTAAAAGTGGTGGCTGTGTAAAATTAGTGTGTGGTAGAGGCTGTGTAAAAGTGGTGGTGGGGCTGTGTAAAAGTGGTGTTAGCCAGGGCTGTGTAAAAGTGGTGGCTGTGTAAAAGGGGTCACGTAGAGAAGTCACATAAGTGAAGTGAGTGGGGGGGGCTGTGTAAAATTAATTGAGGTAGAGACTGTTAGTAATAGAGTGAATTGAGTAGGGCTGTGTATAAAGTGGTGGGTAGGAGGGCTGTGTGGAAGTGGTGAATACTGACTGTGTAAAGTGGTGCTAGGGCTGTAAAGTGGTAGGGCTGTGTATAGTGGTGAGTAGAGACTGTGTAAAAGGTAATTGAGTGATGGGGAAGGCATTGTAATGAGTAATTGGTAGGGCTAGTATAAAGTGGTCTTCAATGTAAAAGTGGTGTAGAGCTACTGTGTAAAATTAATTGGTGAGAGACTGTGTAAAAGTGGTGAGTAGGGCTGTGTAAAAAGTGGTGGTAGGGCTGTGTAAGTGTGTGAAGTAGGGCTGTGTATTGAGTGGGGCTGTGTAAAAGTGGTGGCTATTAATAAAAAGTGAGGTGGTAGGGCTGTGTAAAGTGGTGGCTGTGTAAGAGTGTGTGAGTAGAGAGCTGTGTGTAAAAGTGGTGAGTAGAGGCTGTGTAAGGAGTGGGTGAGAGTAGAGCTGTATAAAATTAATTTGGCTGTGTTAAAAGTGATGATAGAGCTGTGTAAAAATTGAGGCCAGTAGAGACTATTAATAAAAGTGATTGGTAGAGCTGTATACAAAATTGGTGAGTAGGGCTGTGTAAAGAGTGGTGGTAAGGCTGTGCTTAAAAGTGGTGAGTAGGGCTGTGTAAAAGTGGTGGGGTAGAGCTGTAAAATGTAGAACTAATTAGGTAGAGGCTGTGTAAAAGTGGTGGCTGTATAAAAATTAGTAAGGCTGTGTGTATGAGTGGTGGAAGTAGGGCTGTGTGTATGAGTGGGTAGTAGGGCTGTGTGTATATAGTGAATTGAGTGGGGCTGTGTATAAGTGATTAGTAGGGCACAAGTAATAAAGTGGTGAGGTGGTGTAAAGAGATGTAGAGTTAAGTGGGTAGGGCTGTGTAAAAGTGAGGTGAGTAGGGAGCTGTATAAAGGAAGTGATGGGGCTACAATGTATAGTTATGGTAGGGAAGGCTGTAAAATAATGAGTAGAGACTGTGTAAAAGTGGTAACAATGTAAAAGTGGTGGTAGAGCTGTGTAAAAGTGAGGTGAGTAGGAGCTGTGTAAAATTAATTGAGTAGGGCTGTGTATAGAAGTGAGTAAGGCTGTGTAAAAGGTGGTCAGAGTAGGGCTGTGTAAAGTGGTGGTAGGGCTGTGTAAAGTGGTGGTAGGGCTGTGTAAAAGTGGTGGTGGGGCTGGTGTAAAGAGTGGTGGTGGGAGCTGTATTGAAGTGGTGGTGGCTGTGTAAAGTGGTGAGTGTAAAGGGCTTGTGTAAAAAGTGGTTGTAGGGCTGTGTAAAGTGGTGGTGGGGCTGTAAGAATTAAGTGAGTAGAAAATGTGTGGGAAGTGGTGGTAGGGCTGTGTATAGCTGGTGTAGAAAGTATCAAAGTGGTGAGTGGAGGCTGTGTAAAGTGGTGGTAGAGACTGTGTATAGTGGTGCAGTGGGGGCTGTGTAAAGTGGTGGTGGTAAGGCTGTGTAAAAGTGGTGGTAAGGCTGTGTAAAAGTGGTGGTAGGTAGTGAATGAGGTAGGGCTGTAATAAAGTGGTGGTGGCTGTGTAAAAGTGGTGAGTAGAGCTGTGTAAAGTGAGTGGCTGTGTAAGTGGTGGGTCAGGATGTGTATAAAAGTGGTGAGTACTGTGTAAAAGTGGTGAGTAGAGGGCTGTAAAAGTGGTGGTGGGGCTGTGTAAAAGTAATGGTAATTAGTGGCTGTGTAATGTAAAAGTGGTGGTAGGGCTGTGTAAAAATTAAGTGGGGGCTGGCAAAGAGGCACAAGCTGTGTAAAGTGGTGTAAAGTAGGGCTGTGTGTAAAGTGGTGAGTAGGGCTGTATAAAAGTGGTGAGTAGGGCTGTGTGTAAAAGTGGTGAGTAAGAGCTGTGTAAAGTGGTGAGGTAGAGCTGTGCTGTAAGTGGTGAGTGGAGGAGCTGTGTAAAGTGGTGGTAAGTGGTTTGTGTAAAAGTGGGTGGCTGTGTAAAGTGCAAAGTGGTAGGGCTGTGCAAAGTGGTGGTAGGGCTGTGTAAAGAGTTAAGTAGTGGGCTGTGTAAAGTGGTGGCTGTGTAAAGTGGTGGTAGGCTGTGTGTAAAGTGGTGGTAGAGCTGTGTAAAAGTTAATTGGTAGAGCTGTGTAATAGTGGTGAGTAGGGCTGTGTAAAGTGGTGGGTAGAGGCTGTGTATAGTGGTGGTGGCTGTGTATAAAGTGGTGGCTGTATATAAAGAGTGGAGTAGGGGCTGTGTATAGTGGTGGTAGGGCTGTGTATAGTGGTGAGTAGGGCTGTGTATAGTGGTGGTGCTGTGTATAGTGTAAAAGTGGTGGTAGGGCTGTGTAAAGTGGTGAGTAGGGCTGTGTATAGTGGTGGTAGGGCTGTGTAAAGTGGTGGTACAGCTGTGTAAAGTGGTGGTGTATGAAAAGTGGTGGTAGAGGCTGTGTAAAGTGGTGAGTAGGGCTGTAATATATAGTGGTGAGTAGGGCTGTGTGTATAGTGGCTGTGTAAAGGGGTGGTAGAGCTATGTATAAAGAGTGGTGTGGGTACAGCTGTGTAATAAAGTGGTGGTGGTGGGGCTGTGTAAAATAGTGGTGGTAGGGCTGTGTAAAGTAGTGGAGTAGGGCTGTGTATAGTGGTGGTACAGCTGTATGGAAGTGGTGAGTCTGGCTGTAATAAGTAGTGGTAGTAGGGCTGTGTATAGTGGTGGTGGAGCTGTGTATAGTGGTGGTAGTAGGGCTGTGTGTATAGTGGTGGTGTACAGCTGTGTAGTGCAAAGTGGTAGGAGCTGTGTATAGTGGTGGTAGTAATCGTAAAGTGGTGGCTGTGTTAAAAGTGGTATAGTAGAGATCGTGTGTAAAAAAGTAGGGCTGTGTAAAGTGGTCGGTACAGCTGTGTATAGTGGTGGTAGGGCTGTGTATAGTGGCGGTAGGGCTGTGTATAGTGGTGGTACAGCTGTGTATAGTGGTGGTGTGTAAAGAGTGGCATGTAGGGCTGTGTGTATAGTGGTGGTAGGGGCTGTGTATAGTGGTGGTAGAGCTGTGTAGTAAGCCGTATAGTGGTGGTACAGCTGTGTATAGTGGTGGTGGGCAGCTGTGTATAGTGGTGGTAGGGTTGTGTAGTGGTGGTGTGTAAAGTGGTGGTAGGGCTGTGTATAGTGGTGGTAGGGCTGTGTAGTGGTGGTACAGCTGTGTATAGTGGTGGTACAGCTGTGTATAGTGGTGGTGTACAGCTGTGTAAATAGTGGTGGTACAGCTGTGTATAGTGGTGGTAGGGGCTGTGTATAGTGGTGGTACAGCTGTGTATAGTGGTGGTAGGGCTGTGTATAGTGGTGGTAGGGCTGTGTATAGTGGTGGTACAGCTGTGTATAGTGGTGGTACAGCTGTGTATAGTGGTGGTAGGGCTGTGTATAGTGGTGGTAGGGCTGTGTATAGTGGTGGTACAGCTGCGTATAGTGGTGGTGTATAGTGGTGGTAGGGCTGTGTATAGTGGTGGTACAGCTGTGTATAGTGGTGGTACAGCTGTGTATAGTGGTGGTGTATAGTGGTGGTAGGGCTGTGTATAGTGGTGGTACAGCTGTGTATAGTGGTGGTGTATAGTGGTGGTACAGCTGTGTATAGTGGTGGTGTATAGTGGTGGTAGGGCTATGTATAGTGGTGGTACAGCTGTGTATAGTGGTGGTGTATAGTGGTGGTACAGCTGTGTATAGTGGTGGTAGAGCTGTTATGGTCAGCTGACCTGACTGGAGCAGCTCCTGTTCCATGATACCACAACCAAGAACTTCCAGCCATTCTCCTCCGAACTTTATTTCCAGTTCCCAGGACGGATGGGTGAAGGGAAAATAACTATCTGTCCAGCGCAAGTCAATATCTGTTGTCAACAAGAAATGAAATCTATATTAAAAGGATGAAAAGCTTAAGAACCGTGAAGATACACAGATAGTCATATGACAGAAACCTTTTCTATGACTACATGCTCCAGCTCTCCCTAATATCTCACTTGTATTCCACACATAAACATATGGCAATATCACATCAGAGTTGGTACAAGTGGGGACAGGGTGAATATCTGGGGTCAGTTTCAAAGCTTTGGGGCCACATTCTAAGGGATCACATATAAACCTGGACATGTGGTTTGTTGATGCAGGATGACATCTTCAAGAAATGTTAGTCACACACAAGATGTTTCACATGGAATGTTTCTCAGATGTAACATATTGCAGCAGCAACATCATCAGGTGTCACATGTTTAGCCTCTACAGCCTGTAGAAGACCACTGCCATTAGCATGTCTCTTCAAGATACTCATTCTAAAATTAGAATGTAGCTTTGTCATTACATAAGATTTCACACAATTTACACCAAGCTGATATGTTGTATATATATGAAGTCTCAAAGCCATGTTCATTCAACATTCTATCCTGCCTTAATGTCACCATGGTTACTGTCAGATGCGCAGGCCAGACCATGTGTGTATCACTTACTAGACTGACTGACTGAGTTTGAATTTACGCCGCTTTTAGCAATATTCCAGCAACATCATGGCGGGGCACACCAGAAATGGACTTCAAACATTGTACCCATGTGGGAATCGAACCCGGGTGTTCGGCGTGAAGAGCGAACGCTTTAACCACTGGGCTACCCCACTGCCCCATATCACTTACTACAAGTGTACAGTATAACTGACAAACCATGATATGAAAGACTAGGCAGTACATATCATAATATATTTGGAAAATACTGATATATTGTGTTTTTCTTAAATTACGCTTATCTTCGTTTTGCTCAAAATGTTTACATAAGTAAGAAAAATTGACAAGTAAAACAATACTATACAATAGTATAAGAAGAACAACTTTTTCCTGTGATAAAAATGCGAAAATATGAAGCTGTCAAAATTGTGAGGGTTAAGTTTTTTCATTTCGGTTCATAACAAATTACAGATGAAAGAATGCATTTAATATGTTGTCATGCATACCACAAATCATGTTTGAATCATTATTGCAATCAAATTACAAAACAAAATTTAGGCCAATAACCATCATTTTTGCCAAGGTTGACCATATCTTTGTCTGTGTTTGTCATCTCTTGCCCAGCCTGAATGCCATTTCAACATGAAATAATCTAAAGTTTCCTTATCTCAATCTTCCCTGCTGATGTAGGGATTTATGTCCTGAATTCATAAAAAAACCTGCTCTTACCTTAGCATACTCCTATAGCAGGTCAGCTTCATCTTGCTTTATCTACATCTATTTAAATCCCAAAGCAAAGCGATTTGACCTACATCTAAAAATTGACTTAATGACTAGATTATCAACTTACCTAAATTGTAAAATTACACAAACTTACACAATTAGTGAAAACATAATATATTTCTATTTCTGTTTACATTTTACCTGCTCACTCTTGTGCTGGCTGTAGCTATCAATGAGGAACACATAAAATATCCCAGATGGCCTGACATTTGGGTGGTGATTCTGACATGCCAAAGTCATTTGAAGGAGAAACCTCTTGGGTATTTTCAGAACTATATCTTCTATATGTGCAAAAAAACTGAAAACTCATATCTGATTGGACCATTTGTGACTTTCAGACAATGAAATGTGATTTGGACATATGCAGAGAATGTCGGGACATTTACATCCATAACTGAAACATTTGGTGCAATAATATAAAATATTTTTCAAACCGTCCTTTAGTCTTAAACTATAGGAAATACACTCATCTACATGAATGTACCTTATGCCCATCTAAGTGTTAATATTATAAGCCAATCAACAAATTATTGCAGTAATAATGTGAGACTGCAGCCTTGGCAGAACACAATTATATGTACAGCTATACTGTTTCAATTTCAGCATACATGAAATTTATTAAAACATTCCACAATCACCTCACACCTGGGAAAGATTATGGGTTGCCTACACTTACGACAAACAGACTTATTCTGTTTTGTGTATCTAATTGTGTATCTAAATATAAGACAGAGTGTTTTGAGTTTAAGGCTACTTCAAACAGCATTGCTAATATATCGTCAGTTTCATGTGTGAGAAAAGAGCAGAATGATGCAGAAATGAGATGTTTACCAGTTAGGTGAATCCCATGAACAAGGGTATGGTCCTAACAGGTGCCAGGCTTTGTGATACCCGAAGAAAGCAACTCTACACATCAAATTGAAGCAACTTTGAGGAATTGACCACCTGTGCCTCTTTACTGAAACTGTACTAGAAAGGGAGGTAACTCTTCCATTCCCATATCAACAGGATGAGTACTACCTAACGTGAAGTAGGTCAATTCAGAAATTGGAGATTGTTCAGATTGGAGATAGGAAAAAAGTCAGAACTCACACACAGAATAGTGGGCTTTCCTGTTTGACAGGCACACCTTATTCAGTTATTGCGTAATGTCCTCCGTTGTATGTGGGTTCAATGACGGTAAATCCAATGTCAGTAGTTGGTCCAAAAATAACAAGACAGGGTTTAAGTTACGGTTAAGTTAGAAATCTGTCTTCAAATGCAATAAATCACTTCAGTAGATAGAACATCACATACCTTACTCAAGGAAGGGTGACTGGTGAGGGAATATAAGGACATGTGTTTCAACTTATAAATCATGTATAACTGATAACCATGCATATGCACCTCAGTATTATTCGTGTGGTAAAAGAAAATTTAATATTATCCATACCAAGTTGCATTAGTCAGTTAGTTGTTTGAACTTTGATTTGTACAGAGTTGGAATGAAAGCTGATCCTATTTGTATATGTGGTGATTTTATTGAGAACTCGTATGATTATCTGTTTGAATGTCCATTGTACAAACAACAAAGAGTTAACTTCATGTTATAAGTTAAGCGCATTTGTTCATCAGCAGGTATTTCAGTCGACCTTAAACTTTTGTTAGAAGGAAGTGCAGACCTATCATCATGTGAAAATGTAAAAGTATTCAAGTTAATGCAATCGTTCATTAGTGAGACAAAACGATTTGTGTAGCATATTGATATTATTCTGTATAAGCTCTATCGCTTTTTACTTATTCTACTTTCTTGTCCACTATCTGTCATCTTTACTTGCGGGAATCTAAATTACCTATGTACATACCAAGGAGAGGGTATTCTAAGTTGGAGAACTTGTTCCTAATCCTTTTCTCAGTGAATAAAATATGTTTAAAACAAAAAAACAAGGACATGTAGTCACTGCATCAACTCATGGCCACAACAGAAATCTGTCAACATTCTAAATTCCTTTCTTGGAGATATCACATGAAAATTATTAACTATGTAGAGCACAATTAAGTACTGAAAGCAAAGATTACTGTTAATGAGGCAGATCAATATACTCAAACCTAACTACTGACACACCAATATGCTACAGAGTGGGTTTCTTTCTTGCATTGTTATGTCAATGATAATAATGCCAAAGATACATAAAAAAACAAAATGGAATCACACCATTTCCAAAGAGGCTAATGGTCAAGTCTTGCAGTGTTTTCTTGAGACTGTGTTCAACAAGTTTAGCAGCATCAATTGTATGGAAAGCCTGTTTGTCAGCAAGTCGCTTCCCATCTTCAAACAAGCACAGATTTGTTGAGTCTGACACATCCTTAAATAACTGAAACAGAATCAGGTTTATTTGTTAGAAAGGATTTACCCCTTCAACATAGAGCTAACCAATACATTCCTGTGATACTCTGGACACATCAATGATACATGGTTCACATACTGACTTTGTGCTGCAGGGGGATTTCATTAAATTGATATTTGTGCAAGAGATGTTGTAATAATGAAGCAGACAACTTTATGGACTTTATAGTTAACTTCTTGTTTGTTGCACAAAGTGGTGTTTCAATGTAGATTCCGACACTGCTCTATGCAATAAAACAGAAGTTGCTATCCACAATGTTGCATGCCAATCTGACAATGATAAATGTACTATATTGTACAGTTTGACACAAATATACTACTCCATGAAAGAAACGCATAGCACAGATTTTCAGGTCGGGTCTTTTTAGGATGAATCGCAACATTAGTTACTTTTATATTTTGGTAACCAATACCTCATTGAAAACAATTGATGAAACGCAACCCAAACAGATTTTTAGGAATAAATGTCACATAAGACATGGGTTTACAAAACTTCACATTTTTGTCAGACACATGCACTTCGTGCACAATAGGCAATAAAAACAAGGTTCTGGTTTTGTTAGTGACAGTTTTCAAACGTGTAGTTGCAGTGTAAAGTCATGCCTAGACTAACTGAGGCTCAACAGAATAATGCAAATGGACATTTGGAGGCTGGTGAATCACAATCAGCAGTGGCAAGGTGCCTACACGTATCCCAGAGCACAATAGGAAGACTGTGGCATCATTTTCAACAGCATGGGACCACACAGGATAGACCCCGGATAGACAGGTCACCACGCCCACCCAAGACAGATTCATTCGTTTACGGCACTTCCATGACAGATTCCTTACGACATCCTCTACCACAACCTCATTGCTTGGGCTCCGGAGAATCTCAGACCACACAGTAAGGAATCGTTTACGTGAAACTGGTATTTGTCCCAGAAGACCAGCACGTGGAGTCATCTTCACATGACAACATCATCAGCTACGGCAATGGTGTGTCAACATCATGTCAAACCATCGGCCATGGCCTATGCAGAGATGGAGAACTGTCATTTTTAGTGACGAGTCACGGTTTCTACTGAGACGTCCAGACAGGAGATCACGCGTGTAAAGACGTCATGAACGTTTTCGTGCAAACTGTGTTCAGGAAGTCGACAGATTTGGCGCAGATAGTGTTATTGTGTTATTGTGTTGGCGGGCATTTCATACAGTGGTAGGACAGATTTTGTTCACATTCAGGGGAATCTCACAGCTCGATGTTATTGTGATGAGGTCATCAGGCCACACGTCATTCCGTTCATGAACAGACAAAACGTCATTTTTCAACATGGTAATGCTCGCCCACATACGGCAAGGTTGACTATAGTGATCCTGGCACAGAACAACATTCAGGTTCTTCCATGGCCTTCATGATCACCATATCTTAACCCAATTGAACACTTGTGGGACGAACTGGATAGACGGGTGCGTCGACGTCATCCACAGGCACAGACTCTTCCAGATTTGTTTTTGGCGTTGTGAGACGAGTACCAGAACACTCCCAGGACTGCCATTCAGAATCTGATTCGGTCCATGGGTAAACAGTGTCAGGCTGTGATTGGCTCTAATGGTGGTCATAATCACTACTGATTTCGTCAGACCTGCACTTCATTTACAGTGCAATGTACTGTTTACCTTGTCTACACTGTCTGCTGTAATCATTGCAGTAACTTGTTCCATGTGCAGGTCACCTGATGCTCATATTTTCACATAAAACATTGACAACAGTCTGTGCTATGCTTTGAGTAGTATAGTTTCAAATGCATGAACTTGCTTCATTTTTTATATTATTTGGTAATTTGATTAAAAAACATAGATTGTCAACCTATTTCTCATCTATTTCTGCCCAATCTGCCCAACAATTAATCTGTTTGTGTCATTTGAGACATTATTTACAACATTACTGAATCATAAGGAAGGCATTGACAACAACAAACAAGTCTAAAGCTTGAAAAGTAACCTCAAACTCTGTGAAAAGCCGGACACCTTCAAGCTGATGGAATGCTGGATAATGACTTGCATCAATTTCATCTCTCCTGTATACATCTCCCACAATAAGGAAGGCATCTAGTCCGGACTTCATCAAATCTCTCTGATGTGCTGAAGTATGCGCCCTTAACATGTATTTGGAGTTGATATAATAGCTGTCGGACCTTGATCGACTAACATGGTCTAACGGCACCAATAAACTGTCAAAATTCTGTTCAAGGGTCACAACTGGGCTCAGTTGATCATATACTGAAAATATTGGATTACTTCTGCGATTTATGTAGTTTTTGTAAAAGAAGTTTTCTATTCTTCTTTTTATCAAGTTGAGTGGATGATGTTTTTGCATGTGCAGATTCTGACCAAGTTTCGAAAGCAGTCCTTGATTAACATTGGTCCAGTCATCTGTACTGTAAACTTGGCCTGCTATGTCAATGGTGTGTGGTGCATGTTTCCGACTGGGGCCTGTGTCACTGGCAAGTCTCCTCACAACACACACAGCATCCACTCTACCACACAGAACAACATGTAGTGAGCGCTGAATCCTGAAACAGGAGCAAAGAAGGAAACTTAGGGAAATAATGGTCAAGTTGTCAGAACATCAAAACTGGTTGTGCAAGTGGAATGATTCAATCATACTCAGAATACTGACTTTACTATGGAATGGTTTAAATACCCGATCAATAAAGATATTGTCAGGATGTCCTTACCAGGAAACCAGTAGATTTGTAGTCTTAGGAATTGTTTGATAGTTTATCTGACCATATAGTTGGTGGCTTGTTTAAACTACATATGATTACATATCATATTCTTTTTCATGCCTTTTCAGAAATTGTTTCCGAAGTATTGACAAAGTTTGTTTGTTGTTTAACACTACACTCAGCAATATTCCAGCTATATGGCAGCAGTCTGTAAATAATCAAGTCTGAACCAGCCAATCCAATGATTGATATCATGAGCATCAATCTATGAACATTTGAGTGAGTTTAGTTTTACGCTGCTTTTAGCAATATTCCAATAATATCACGGCAGGGGACACCAGAAATGGGCTTCACACATTGTACCCATCTGGGGAATCAAACCCGGATCTTCGGTGTGATGAGCGAACGCTCGAACGCTTAAACACTAGGCTACCCCACCACACCTATGAAAATTTGAGAACATCGAAACTAAATATATTGATCATTTTGAAGTTCAATGTCTCAGCATTACTATTTATAAATGAAAGAAATCAAATTATCTCCTTTATGAACAAACTTATCAATTAATAACAGGCCTACTTACTACAAGTGATCATCAGAGTATCAAAAACTATTTGTACAGTTCTTTCAAACTGTCTTATCAGGGAGCCACATAGTTTTTGCTATTTTATCTTTGAACCTATATTGAACTGTATATAACGGATGATATATTCACTCATTTGAATATTTGGTCTGTCTTCGTCTTCAATGTCATAATCTAATGGGCTGTTTCAGCGCTGCCCCATCTCACTAGAGACCATATAATATAATATTATATGGTCTCTGATCTCATAGATCTCATCTAATCGTAATCGGCATCATTTATGTGATGCGTGTGTTGTGAATGATACATTTTGGGAATTGTCAGTTAATGAAACTAAAATTATATGAACAAGACGTGCCTGGGGAACATATTGCGCGTTCACAGGGTAACAGTGTAGATTTACTCTGATTAAACTCGTAAACCTGTATCCGATTGAGGTTGGCAATTTACTTCTAAACTTAACAGAAGTAGTCAACTGTCTTTTTCACGACATTCATATAAATCGTGTTAGTGTTATTAGGTCTATTGTCGATTCTTTCAGAATGGGTTATGGCATTACAATGACAAATATTGTTCTTAGACTTGCCAATTATGTAAACCGACTGCATTTAATGTCGTAAATAAGAATTCTTCTGAAAAAGAGTTTACTTTTGAACACTTCCGGTACAAAATGGCGATCACCACAAGACCGCAGGCTTTGGCTCTCTATAGATCTTTATTGCGCGAAGCAAGTAAATTTACAGAATACAACTACAGGTAGTTCATTTTCCTTAGGTTCCTTTACGATCCTTAGGGTTAGGATTTAGGGTAAGGTTATGCCACCCTTTACGACCCTTAGGGTTAGGGTTAGGCACCCTTTACGATCCTTAGGGTTAGGGTTAGGGAACCCCAGCAGCGCTAATTAATCTGAAAAAAGTGCGCCCGGTAAAGTGCAGTACTCCCTTGAATGTATATTTAGGGTGAGGTATGCATGTTAGTTTGTAATTTTGGTTTTTTATGGGGGTGGGGGGTACGGGGTGAGGAAGGGTGTGGGGACTAGAGTAGAGTGCACCTTACCAGAGCGCTGTCTCGCTATATCGCGATAATAACATCATATATATCCCGGTGTCAGGAGTTTTCGACGATGTAAGACAAAAACGTAATTTTTATCTGTAATATCATTTGAAGTTTTAATTTTACTAACCTTGGGTGATAAAGGATATATTCATCTATTTAACACAAAAATATCAAGTGTTTCCTACAAAAATAAGGTTGATGACATCGTTTCGGCGAAACTGTTGCCGTTCGCCACATCCGTGAATTTTGTATGGGTTTTCAACGATGAGCCATACTTTTTGCTCCGCACTGTGAGGGAGTGTTGTGATAACGTGGCTTTCTATTTAAATATTGCCTGTCACCAGCAGGCGAATGATCTTACTGAATTTTCGCTTGCTATTTTTTGTTATAAAGGCAATTGATTTTGCATCTGAAGTGGTATTACTGACTGACTGAGTTTAGTTTTACGCCGCTTTTAGCAATATTCCAGCAATATCGCGGCGGGGGACACCAGAAATAGGCTTAACACATTGTGCCCATGTGGGGAATCGAACCCGGGTCTTCGGCTTGATGAGCCAACGCTTTAACCACTAGGCTACCCCACCGCCCCTGAAGTGTTATTAACGATCTCGGGTAAATAATATTGATGTTTGTTTGCTTTATAAACAACTTAACTTCCGGTTTTCAATTGTCAATACAACTTCTCACGACAGTGACTGGGCATCCACTCTGCCGATGAAATTGCTTGTGCTCACCGATCGCGCATGTACTCCCCCGATATAGCGCCAGCAGCGTAATCGTCGAAAACACCAGAACGTCGAATTCAGCTTAGTTACAAAAACAAACATTGATCAAAGATTAACCGATAACACGCTGATGGATTAATTGCTTTTATCCTGCACAGCAGATTTGTCAAAAAGGTAGTGTTTATGTATGTAGATTTACTAATCTATACTGAATACACCCTGTCGTAAAGTCTCTTTGTAAAAACAACATCCTTCCTACAGAGGAATACATTGATTGATTGCTCATTATTGGCTAACTAAATTACTTTTTAAAGAATGGCGGACATCATGCAGTTAGTTGCCAGGTGTGCTATCTTGGGTGACCAATGGGACTACACACCAATGTGAAAAACCTGAAACGATAGATTACGTTTTCGCATATTAGACTGTTACAAGACACATGACATGGAGCAGGATTCTTTGTCAGCTGAAGGTGAATGGCATGTTGTTTCCTTTATGTGGATATTGATGGATACATTCCTCGAAGAAGGTAGGATAGCCTGATATTATTGCTGTAACTTTAGTCAGTTTTAATTTTAATATTTGCATTTTGTTTTCATTTATTTGTTATGGCATTCAACAGAATCATTTTTTTTTTTTTTGTGACATATGATTCACGTTGGCAATCTATAAGATGTCTAGATATTACAGTCATGTTATAAAATCATTAAGTGTAAGCAGATCGTGTGCATTTTATTAAGTTTTAAAATGCATACAAATATGATAAACTAATTAGGATTATAAGACAAAATATAAAGACGTTCATTGACTTCGTTATATCAGTCCTAACATTTTTTACCACTGGCAGATTTGTTATTAAAATAATTCCATTTAATACAACATTCAGACTGACTAATAGTGAACCCAAGCTCACTACTCTCCCCAAGACTCCCCATGTACTTTGTTAGACTTACTTTCAAACAATGCTATTATATCGGGCTTCTCACCAAATTCACTGTCAAACTATTTCTAAATCAAATTCTACATCCATTTATGTTAAGATTTTTATAAAGTCAACATTACTATGAAATCAAACATTTACATCAAAATCAGCATTTTTATCAAAGTGAATATTTTTTTAAGAAACTAAATTATTCATCAAAGTCTACATAATTTTACAACAAAATAAACATAAGATTGAAATATTATCGAGTAAAAAAGATTTCATCTTTGTTGATCAGTCTATACTTATACTATCAGGTGCGCATGAGGGTGGCGCAGCAGAGGTAATGTAAACAGTCATGAATTCTGGGTTATCATCCGGTATTCACTGGAGAAAACAATAACAAAAGCAACAACCATGAAATTGCTCTGGATATGTATGAATATTTTAAAATGACAAATATGTATGACTTGTGATGGTTCATCTTCTAAACAGTGTTGCAGTTTATGGAAAGAAATGATGATGATTTGGATATAACAAATGTGATTTACTTCTGACAAAACAGCACATGGATAATTGAACCAATGATTTATACCCAAATTATGGACAACCCATACACATTTGTAGTAAAATGGATAGCAACCATACAAAATGAAAATATGTATGACTTCAGTGGTTCCCTCTAAACGTATCGTTTGAGATACATGTGTTTTCAGCTGACCAAATGAATTCATAGTAAAATAGCAACCACTGTTATACTCAGTGGCCCTGAAACGATGTTTGAGACATGTTTTCAGCTAAGACTATGTTTGATTTGTTTTTCTTGTAACACTTAAGCATGTTTAGTAGTCCAATCACCGACTGTGTAAACTTCTCAGACCGATTTCCAAGCCTACTAGTACTAAGTTTAAATAAGAAACCAACAATATCCCACCTTGGCTAACTGAGTTAACGCAATGAATTTAATCCTAATTTAAGAGTATCAAAGGGAGAATGAGTGTTCATTAGTCATTCATTTTATACTAGGAACAAAATGAATGTCCTCCAAAGATTGAAAGAATGAAATGGTATTGTGTGTTACATGGAGATGAGAGTGCAACAACAGTGCGACATCTGCAACTACTGGCAGCACTGTGTATTGGATCAGGTAAATATCTGATATTTGTTCATGTTTTTTTAACAACAACTTTTCAAAACCATATGAAATCTAAAAATACATTGCACATAAAAATAACTGTATGATAACAATTGTATATTTTTTGTTATTTTTCACAGGCATTGATTTGACAACATACCGGCAGTTCATCAGAGGTGAAAAAGAAATAGAGATCAGATGCTACGAAAAGAATGAAGTCTTGATGACTCTCTTGTACTTGAGATAGAAATATCTGAAATGTATGAATGAATGAATGTTTGAAATGTATAATGAATAAATTGTGTAACAAATGAATGTTTGAAATGAAAAATGGATAAAATGAATAACAAATGAATGTTTGAAATGTATAATGATTGATTGATTTTGTCAGAGACCATTTATTGATATATGTCAGTATATGGTCTCTGATTTTGTGAAAGAATAGTGCAAGGAATATATTGTTATCACAGGGTTGAATAAATCATTATAAGAGTACTAAATCTTTTGTCTTTTTATACAGTCTATATTGGTTTATGAAATCCAGTTTCAGATATGATGTACATGGGTACATGTCATCTAATTTGAGTATGAATCATCCAAAATCTTGGTTTGATTCCAAATTTGGATACAGGTCATCCATATCATAATTATTGGATACAGGTCATCCAAATTTGGGTAAAAGGGCCGACCTAAAAAGATATGAGTTGTCCAAAATGGGTATGAAGCTGATGAGAATTTTGTGTAAGAGTTTGCCATTTTGTTGGGTACAGATCTCTGTGGATAAGGATCATCTAGTATCCATATCAATATGAGCATCCTCATAAGAATTTCAATATCCTTAGCATAGTAAACAATGGTAAGAGGGATCCAAGTACTTGGCCAATACAAACATAGGTGGAAGAACCTGTAGACAGATGAGGAATGTATAACTCTATTCGTTGAACTGGAAGTTGGTCCTTCTTTTGCCTATTTTTACCCATTTAAGAGTCTTGCTGTTTTGAAGCAAATGAATTGGACACAGAATATGATGAAAACTTTCCCAGTGTTGGTGTAATTGTTTCTAATTGTTGTAAAAAGAGTAGAACAGATAAGCACTTACAGTGTGTACAAATATACTTTCATAGTTATGTGTTTGTAATCATGGTAACAAAAAGTCAGATATTTCACTGTTATTGTGCTAACCATTGGAATGAGTGAGTATGGTAATGCACTGTTTTTAAGCAAAATTCCATCAATGTCACAGTTGGGTACACTAGGGCTGCAACAATTAGGTTCGATTCATTGAAAATAGAATCTTGACACCTTAGTTTCAATTTTCGATAACCATTATCACTGTTTCCATTCGATATTTGAGTACTGTTCTGTGTTTGAAAATAATATTTTATTTGTTTGAAAAAGGTTACATCATTTATATTCCTGATTTCCTAATCAAATCTTGGAAAAGGTTTTCAGTGTGATATGTTTTGTTTAATTAATAGACTCTGAAAGTTAAATGAAATCTGATGTTTTTACTTGTATGAAGAATCGCATAAAAAATGATCGACTCAAGGGTCCAGTATCAAAAATCGAATTGAGGTCTGGGTGAATCGTTGCAGCCCTAGGGAACATCGGAAATGGGCTTCTGGCATTCTGCCCCTGTGGGAATCAAACTTTGGTCTTCTGTATGATGAGTGTATGCTTTCACCTGTAGGCTACAACCATGCCCCATCACCAGTGGACAACAGGTGCAGTCAAATGCACACTTGTGCTAATATAGGAATAATGATTGGTGTTGGCTAAATTGTCCTTTTAAGTGATAAAATTGACCCAATATTAACTAAACAGGCGAACTCATCATTGAGCAAAAGATGCCTTCAGGGTAATGTCATTGAATATAAAAATGCAAAGGGTTTATATTTTTTCCTGTGAAGTGGCGGTGGGGTAGACCAGTGTTTAGAGCGTTCACTCATCACACCAAAGACCCGGGTTCGATTCCTCAGATGCGTACATTGTGTGAAGCTTGGTGTTTGGTTACTTTGTCTTTTACTGATGGCTTGTGCCATTTGGGTTTGTCTAAATTTTGGAGTGTATAAAACAAATGTAGAGTAATTTCATCAGCACATTTTGCGACTTACACATGTTCCTCAATGATACTAAGCCATGTTTCATTATTACACTGTTTAAGGGAAGTATACCATATTCTTTGCAATATTGACTACCGGTATGTTAAGATTGGGTATGAATAAGGTATTGGGCATCAACTGAATATCCCTGTTAACTAGACTACAGCCCTGTGACATTATCAAGTATTGATTGCCCTTGCTGCTGTACATTGTATCTTATTCAAGTTGTAAGCTGACATTGTTTGGGAAGTCAGTGATTACCTCCCTCAATACCTCTATAGCACACTACTTTTATTTAGGCAGCTAGTGAGCAGTTATGGGTAAGCCTAAAGCTAACGCTGTGACATCCAGCAGCTGACTTAAATGGGTAAAATCCTGTCTGACCAGGCTGGGACTGTGATATGTTGAAAGGAAAGAAACGAAAACAGTATATGTGTTTCTTCTACAGTAGTTCACTTTATGTAATGAATGAGTCGTGCCATTTCATATGGTTGTTTTATGCCCTTATATCAACCAATTAAAACTTGAAACAACTCATGGTTATGTTGCTTTGCTTTTTGTTTATAAGATTTGAAGTGCTGCATCAATGGATACTTGTATTATGTGTGTCATGTTAAGTCACACATTTGACATTGGGATAATTAATGTATACTACATATTTCCGTTATATGAATTTGTACAATTGGATGTATCCTGGATCACTGCCAGCTTCATGCATTATTGAACAATAATCATTATGAATACATTAGATGCAAGGCCAAATATATATATGTGCAGGGTACAATTTCACTTTCTTTCACTACCTGCACCAGCTGCAACCAAGTGAATTCATCAGGTTGCACCATCAAATATGGCTGCACCATGCAGTGAATGATCCCATCTACCGGTATGTCACTGACAGCAGACAATTCCATGTCTGCAGTTTGAGAGGGGTACTCATGGCCAATAGCACTATGTCCAGAACTGCTCACAACACTGCATGTCTTGAGGAATTCTTTGAGGGATGGCTGCTTTTTAACTGACATTTTCATTTATAAATTCAATTTCTTTTCCACTTGAAATCAACCATCCACCTTCACAAGTGTTGCATTACACAGTGACCTCTGACCTTCCATGAAATGTAACAAAATTGTGTACACTGTGTGAGATCTACATGACTGATTTGTGAGAATGAGAGCAGACTTGTTTACAGTTTTTACTTCTGGTAGCTGATTCACATGATACACACAACAACAAAAGACTTATCTAGTATGAGAAATTTATCTTATAGAACTGCTTACATGCAGTGATCGAAATAATTTTCAATAATTGTTGCCTGCCCACACTTTTGACTCATAAATTGCATTTGTTTACAAAAACAAACAAGTATCATTGTTTCATATGGGAATAAGTTCAGCAAATTAAAAACAACAATCATGTAATGAAATACTCAGTCACATCCCCAGCCTGTGACATTTGAAAAGAGCCTGTTAAACTTGTAAATCCACTTATCGGTTTACATCATGAAATGATATATTTTCTGAAAAATTTTAATAGGAAAGTTTAAAGCAGTACCCGCCTCAAATATATCTTCTCGCATGTTATTCATACGGTGCTTCCAAAAGGGAGGTATTTGAAAATAGCAGCCAGACAATCGGGGGAGAATGGAGATTTTTTTCAGGCAGCCCGACAGGAAAATTGCCAGCCTCAGGGAGGCGGGCAGGCCATTATTTCGATCACTGCTTACATGCACTTGTGGTGGAAAATGTTACCTGCACTGGATGCATCCAGAGAATAAAAGTTACGTGCACTAGTAATAATTTACCTGCACTGGTGCAGCCAGGATTTTGCAAAATCAATCCATGATGCGTATCCCAAACATATGTTGATAATATTCATTATATTCATGGTGTGGTGGTCTAGTGTGTATGTGCTCACTATGTCAAAGTCTTGCACTTTATTCCCCACAAGTGAGAACCCATAACATAGTTGTCCATCATAACAGTGTTGGAGTAAAATCATACTTGTTCATTACAGCCGGAGACAAAGTAATAGCTGGAAATCGCACAGTAGGTGAAGTTCACTGCCCATGGTTACTGGTTTGTAGATCCTTGAGCAGCTTTCTTGAAGCTCTATTAACTACCATAATTCCCTGCATGCATACCACTATCTGCAGAAGCAGATACACATACATCTCAAGCCCCCCATCTTCTATTGCAGGATGTATGCTTGGAGGAAGACAAGAGACAGTTTTAGAACCAACAAGAATGTCACTGATCCTCAGCAAATATCGAATCTCCTGAAAGATGCTAAAGAAAACCTAAGCATTATTAAGCGACAGGTGAGAAGTTAATATAGCTTATAATATTACAGTATTACATACATTCAGGTAGTAAATATTTCAAGGTTAGAAATAATTGTCCCTTAGAGTAGAAAATAATTTAGAATGCTTGCCATCTGAAAGTTCAACTTCAAGTGAGCTTGTCTAAACAATATGTAATGTTATTGTTTATTCTTGTGCCTGATCTATCGGTCCCATCATACACTATATTGCAGAGGTATTTCTTCATGGAACACTCAGCTGTATTTCCTCTACTTGGTATATGACTGTAGACTATATAATGACATGCGCACCATACACGACAGGCATTAAGAGCAGACATCAGTCCATGGTGTTTGGGTGTGAATATGTTATCAACACATTGGATCATACCAAGAAAAAGACGCAAGGGGTGTTGGGGATTGTTTGACTCTCTTTATTTTTGTACTTTTGTACTTATCTTTGCCTACTCATATGATGCAATGAGAAATTGATGCATTAGATATAGGTTTGGACTCTCTCTATTTTTGTACTTTTGTACAAAATTGAAAATGATGCATTAACCCTTGTCCTATGGAGAGAAATGGACCCCAAGGCTATACATATTGTGATAGAATCGTTCAGTGGTAAACTATCTTAATAGGACGTCGGGTAATCTTCATTGACCATTTTTCCTTTTAAAAATCAGGTTTAAGATATAGAAAGAATTTCCATTATAGTTGTATTATTGCACATAACCTACTGGGGACTGATGGGGTCCATGCAGACCCCACTGACAAATCTTTGACCAGCATTTAGAATTGCTCCTGGCAATCAGATTCATTTAACCTTTTCTGCTGGTCTTCTGTGACTTGTGTGCCTAGAGCACATTCTACATGGATTAACAAAACTTATTTGAACTTATGCAACGGGAGCTTGGTGGTGATTACTCTGATGAAAGTGATGGTAGATCTGATGAAGATTATCAACCATCTGAAGGATCTGAAAGCACAGATTCCTACTGTGACCTGGAAGATGACACTACTTCCGACCCCTTAATTACTGAACTTAGACTGTCCCAGTGGGTTAACAAGGTCTGAAATTCAACCAATTAGCACAGAACCACGCAAGCATGATTCAACTGATCGGCACTGCTGACTGTTCAAAATTCGATGCATTAGGCCACAATCGACTACCTGACCTTGCCGCTTCAAATAGCAATGGTTTGTGTGGTGTTCGTGCTTACAGAATTCAAATCTGATTTTATACACTCTTTATACACTTTTTATACGCTCTTTATACACCTATTTATATGCTCTTTATACACTCTTTATACACTCTTTATACAACTCTTTGTAAAACTCTTTATACACTCTTTATACAACTCTTTCGGTGGTAGTGAATGTCAGCTGAAGCAACTGATCAGGTTATGAAAACATTCAAGATACAATATATCTACCTGACTGCCACGTAAACTGTCTTAACCAAAGAAAGTAATAAAAGACGTTGGAAACACTCTATGTAATTAATTGACTAACCAGCTAAACAGATTAGGTCCACTTATCGGCATCAACTAAGTTAAATTCTGAATGATTACAATGTGTTGATAGTTTAAACATCAGTTGGGGCGGACAAGGTTATTCAGGCTCACATTCTGTTAACCTAAATTCACTGAGCATTCCTAGAATCACAAGCAGTACATGTGGGATCCTAGAATCACAAGCAGTACATGTGGGATCCTAGAATCACAAGCAGTACATGTGGGATCCTAGAATCACAAGCAGTACATGTGGGATCCTAGAATAGCAAGCAGTACATGTGGGATCCTAGAATAGCAAGCAGTACATGTGGGATCCTAGAATCACAAGCAGTACATGTGGGATCCTAGAATCACAAGCAGTACATGTGGGATCCTAGAATCACAAGCAGTACATGTGGGATCCTAGAATCACAAGCAGTACATGTGGGATCCTAGAATCACAAGCAGTACATGTGGGATCCTAGAATCACAAGCAGTACATGTGGGATCCTAGAATCACAAGCAGTACATGTGGGATCCTAGAATCACAAGCAGTACATGTGGGATCCTAGAATAGCAAGCAGTACATGTGGGATCCTAGAATCACAAGCAGTACATGTGGGATCCTAGAATCACAAGCAGTACATGTGGGATCCTAGAATCACAAGCAGTACATGTGGGATCCTAGAATCCAAGCAGTACATGTGGGATCCTAGAATCACAAGCAGTACATGTGGGATCCTAGAATCACAAGCAGTACATGTGGGATCCTAGAATAGCAAGCAGTACATGTGGGATCCTAGAATAGCAAGCAGTACATGTGGGATCCTAGAATCACAAGCAGTACATGTGGGATCCTAGAATCACAAGCAGTTCATGTGGGATCCTAGAATCACAAGCAGTACATGTGGGATCCTAGATCACAAGCAGTTCATGTGGGATCCTAGAATCACAAGCAGTACATGTGGGATCCTAGAATCACAAGCAGTACATGTGGGATCCTAGAATCACAAGCAGCATGTGGGATCCTAGAATCACAAGCAGTTCATGTGGGATCCTAGAATCACAAGCAGTTCATGTGGGATCCTAGAATCACAAGCAGTTCATGTGGGATCCTAGAATCACAAGCAGTACATGTGGGATCCTAGAATCATGTGGGACAAGCAGTACATGTGGGATCCTAGAATCACAAGCAGTACATGTGGGATCCTAGAATCACAAGCAGTACATGTGGGATCCTAGAATCACAAGCAGTACATGTGGGATCCTAGAATCACAAGCAGTACATGTGGGATCCTAGAATCACAAGCAGTTACATGTGGGATCCTAGAATCACAAGCAGTACATGTGGGATCCTAGAATCACAAGCAGTACATGTGGGATCCTAGAATCACAAGCAGTTCATGTTGGATCCTAGAATAGCAAGCAGTACATGTGGGATCCTAGAATCACAAGCAGTTCATGTGGGATCCTAGAATCACAAGCAGTACATGTGGGATCCTAGAATCTAGAATCACAAGCAGTTACATGTGGGATCCTAGAATCACAAGCAGTACATGTGGGATCCTAGAATCACAAGCAGTACATGTGGGATCCTAGAATCACAAGCAGTACATGTGGGATCCTAGAATCACAAGCAGTACATGTGGGATCCTAGAATCACAAGCAGTACATGTGGGATCCTAGAATCACAAGCAGTTCATGTGGGATCCTAGAATCACAAGCAGTTCATGTGGGATCCTAGAATCACAAGCAGTACATGTGGGATCCTAGAATCACAAGCAGTACATGTGGGATCCTAGAATCACAAGCAGTTCATGTGGGATCCTAGAATCACAAGCAGTTCATGTGGGATCCTAGAATCACAAGCAGTTCATGTGGGATCCTAGAATCACAAGCAGTACATGTGGGATCCTAGAATCACAAGCAGTACATGTGGGATCCTAGAATCACAAGCAGTACATGTGGGATCCTAGAATCACAAGCAGTTCATGTGGGATCCTAGAATCACAAGCAGTTCATGTGGGATCCTAGAATCACAAGCAGTACATGTGGGATCCTAGAATCACAAAGCATGTGGGATCCTAGAATCATGTACATGTGGGATCCTAGGATCCTAGAATCACAAGCAGTTCATGTGGGATCCTAGAATCACAAGCAGTACATGTGGGATCCTAGAATCACAAGCAGTACATGTGGGATCCTAGAATCACAAGCAGTACATGTGGGATCCTAGAATCACAAGCAGTACATGTGGGATCCTAGAATCACAAGCAGTACATGTGGGGATCCTATGTGGAATCCTAGAATCAAGCAGTACATGTGGGATCCTAGAATCACAAGCAGTACATGTGGGATCCTAGAATCACAAGCAGTACATGTGGGATCCTAGAATCACAAGCAGTACATGTGGGATCCTAGAATCACACATGCAGTACATGTGGGATCCTAGAATCACAAGCAGTTCATGTGGGATCCTAGAATCACAAGCAGTTCATGTGGGATCCTAGAATCACAAGCAGTACATGTGGGATCCTAGAATCACAAGCAGTACATGTGGGATCCTAGAATCACAAGCAGTTCATGTGGGATCCTAGAATCACAAGCAGTTCATGTGGGATCCTAGAATCACAAGCAGTACATGTGGGATCCTAGAATCACAAGCAGTACATGTGGGATCCTAGAATCACAAGCAGTACATGTGGGATCCTAGAATCACAAGCAGTTACATGTGGGATCCTAGAATCACAAGCAGTACATGTGGGATCCTAGAATCACAAGCAGTACATGTGGGATCCTAGAATCACAAGCAGTTCATGTGGGATCCTAGAATCACAAGCAGTACATGTGGGATCCTAGAATCACAAGCAGTACATGTGGGATCCTAGAATCACAAGCAGTACATGTGGGATCCTAGAATCACAAGCAGCACATGTGGGATCCTAGAATCTAGCAGCAGTACATGTGGGATCCCTAGAAATAGCAAGCAGTACATGTGGGATCCTAGAATCACAAGCAGTTCATGTGGGATCCTAGAATCACAAGCAGTACATGTGGGATCCTAGAATCACAAGCAGTCACATGTGGGATCCTAGAATCACAAGCAGTACATGTGGGATCCTAGAATCACAAGCAGTACATGTGGGATCCTAGAATCACAAGCAGTACATGTGGGATCCTAGAATCACAAGCAGTACATGTGGGATCCTAGAATCACAAGCAGTACATGTGGGATCCTAGAATCACAAGCAGTACATGTGGGATCCTAGAATCACAAAGCAGTACATGTGGGGGATCATGTGGGATCCTAGCAACAAGCAGTATACATGTGGGATCCTAGAATCACACAAGCAGTACATGTGGGATCCTAGAATCACAAGCAGTACATGTGGGATCCTAGAATACATGTGGGATCCTAGAATAGCAAGCAGTACATGTGGGATCCTAGAATCACAAGCAGTACATGTGGGATCCTAGAATCACAAGCAGTACATGTGGGATCCTAGAATCACAAGCAGTACAT